AGCCAGGAGCTCTCTCCCTCACTGCTGACCTGCCCAAAGGATGCTGCTTCGCTGGCCATGCCCCAGCACAGCCTCTGGGTGCTGCCAGGGAGGATTTAGGTGCTGTGATGGTACAGGCTGTTCATTTCCACCCATCTGTGATCCTAAGGCAGTATAAAATTGGGGTGAAGTGTTAGAGTAAGCTAGCCCTGAGACAGCAGCTGAAGCATGTCTCCTTGACCTCCCTCCCTGAAGTTTAGCCATTAGCCATTCAGAAGTTCTGAAAATGAAGAAAAATGAGATAGAAATTGTGTGGGTTTCATCAACACAGAGAAAACTCACTCTTTCTGTAAACAGGAACAGTATCACAAAGTATTCCTGTTTGGCAGTCGTTAAAAATTTATGTCACTTTTCAAAGTATTTTTTAATCACCTCTTAGTCTTTATTTCTTTGTGTTAGGAAATACTATTGTCCATACTGAGGCTGAGAAAGTGAGGATAGTCATGATTTAAGGATGTTCCTAGTGCAGCATGGAAACAAAACTCAGCAGAGTTAACCTGGACCATGTAGTGTAAGATCAAATGACAACTGCTTTGTACATTGTACAGGCAATCCCAGCCATGTAGAATAGAGCAATGTTGCATGTTTTAAAATGTCTAAATTAATTTCTTTTCTCACCAATTTGAAAAGAGTTAACTGAGTGGCTGAGATTTTAGAATTAATATAGTTAGGCATTACCAAAACCTAAACCCAACAAAATTGCCTAACAGCAAGGAGAAACTATTTTTATAAGCCTAAAGAAAGAAAAACAGAGGTAATAAGGAGTTCCAGGAATGTTGGGACATACTACAGTTATTTTTCTTGCTTGGGAATAACAGTGACAGGCAATGGCTTGGACCTAAAACAAATTGCCACAAGATACTTAAGGTGGAAATTCACTGTTGTTTGGGGAGTTTGTGGCAGGTTCTGCTGAAGGAGGAATTAGAATAGTATAGAATACTTCCAGTTGGAAGGGACCTACAAGGGTCAGTCCAACTGCCTGGCAAACATGAGAAAACAGGAGGAAATGATATCTTACCTGAAAAGGAGAATGTGCATTTAAAGCCTGCCATGATCAAGCAGTTTGTGTAGGCCTCAGACATTTTTTGTAGCCTTTTTCTGGTTCCCTTCTAATTCATCAACATTGTACCACTGGTCAGCAACACTGGAAGCCACATTCCAGTACCATTATAACCAGGGATGTGTGAAAACTGTTTTTGCTCCCTAATCTTATTTGCCATATCCCTTTTTTGATACAAGCCTAACAATACAATAAAAGCTCATATTGCTTATGCACAATACTTTTGTCACTATTTTCCAGTATGTTGTTTCCCCATGTTTCTCTGCAGACTGACCTGCTTGTTATTCATGTGTAACTTTACATTCACTTGGATCAAAATGTCTTTTTGAGTTAATGAACTTTGCCAAACACTCCATGCTGCTTTTCATCACTGTCTTTGTCTCTTCAGTTTCCCTTGATCCTGACTCCATCAGCAAATGTTATCACCAGTTAATCTTGTATTTATTTCTCAAGTCCTCTGAAGTTTTCAGTCATGTCAGACTTGGTAATGATGGCTAAAAAGTCTCCCTAGCAAGCACACTTATTGAATTATAAGTATCTGAAAAGCTAGTTTTGGGTTTCATATCGTTTAACATTTGCTTTAAAACTGTTCTTATTTGTGTTTTAAAATTGCCTTTCAAAAACAGGAACATTTTCACAGTTATCCTTGTCAGTGTAACCTCATCAAAAAGTGAAAGCAGATTTCTCTGCCCAGATCTGATTTTCAACAAAACCATGTGAACTAATTGTTTATCAGTTTATTTTTATTAGTTTTTCCATTATTTCCTCCAAGACACTTTGGTGTGGGTTTTCAACACAGATGCAAGAGCAGCACTCAGCTAGCTTCCCAAAGTTGCCAAATGTTCCAAGATTCAATTAGAAATTAATATGCTGAGACCCAATATCTCTCCAAGTCTTTTGGAACTCATGGCCACATTATGCAGATTTCCTTATGTAAAAAGAAGAAAGCAATCATCATTTTTCAGCTAGCACTTTGCACTTACTGAGGGAATCAAAAAGCATTTTTATCTGATAGGAGAGAGTTACCATATTTCCTTCTCAGTAGAGAAGAAATACTGAATGTTTCTGGTGTGTTTGCATCACTGGTAACTATTTTATTGGCCTTTAGGTAGGTACTGCTATTCTTATTAGGATTTCTTTTGTAAAAACCAGTCAACTTGTCTTTACTGAATACAGATTTTTTTTCCTTGCTTTTTATGTTTGTTGCATGTTGTTTTTCTCATTATCCCTTTCAACAGTTGTCTTTAAAAAAACCTGAATAGGCTCTTCATTGAAAAATTCCTTTTATAGTATAGTAAATGAGATTTTAAAACCTGATTGTTATTTTTCTAGCAAACTTTTAAATAAATCCTAGATTTTTTTACTCAAAAACCTCAGTTTGGGAAAAGACTTCTTTTAACTATCAAATAGAAATATAAGCATTTGTGATTTATTGACTTTTTAAGTCCTTAGTCTTTGACAATGTTCCCTGGTCCTGTGTAGCTTCCAATTTGCCATTTGGTTATCGATTCATCTTTGTGTTATGCTAGGATGAAACTGGAGTTCCTCAGTGTTGAATGCAGTACCTTTTTTTCTGTATTTAAAAAAAACCAGAGAAATTATCATCTGTAGCTTCTCAAAATCTCTAGTAATTTACTGTGGAGTGCCAGGAGTCACAGAATCACAGACTCAGTTAGGTTGGAAGGGACCACAATGGTTCATCTGGTCCAACCTCCCTACTCCAGCAGAGCCATCCCAGAGCACATGGCTCAGGGTTGTGTCACATTCTCCAGTGAGGGAGAGTCCACGACCTCTCTGGGCAATCTGTTCAGTGCTCAGTGACTGCACAGGAAAGGAAAGGAGTTCATCATATTCAGGTGGAACTTCCTGTGCATCATTTTTTTCTGTTACCTCTTGTTTTATTGGTTTCCACCACTGAGCAGAGTCTGATCCTCCTTTTGGCACTTCCCATTCATGTACTTGAATACATGTGGAGTCCTACAGAATGTGTGTCCTCAGATACTGGAGAATGTTTTGTTTTCCTTCTGCACTGCAATGAAATGCCTAATGAAGTTTGACTTGTTGATCTGTAACAAAATGAAGTGAACATGTTCCCTCCCCTGGGCATCACATTATCACAGTGATCCACCCATATGTGCCTAGAATTTGAGGTTCTGAACACTGCAAAACAAAGAAACCTTTCTTGTATTTATTATCCATATTTTACTACTAGACCAGATAATACACTTGACCTTTTTGCTGTGTATGAATACTTTGAATTAAAATAGGTCTTAGAAACTGGGCATGAAGATTTATTCATATGTTTTTGCATAGTTTATATATAGTAAAACTACTTGACGTAGAGTAAAATTCTCCTATTTTCAGAAAATGTAATTGCCATCTGTTTAAAGAAAAAAAAAAATTCTTACGCTGAGAAGTTACAATTTTTGCCTGCCATTAAACTTAATAAATCCAGAGCAGTTTAAAAGAGTAGAGGATGAAATCCTCCCTTTCATAGCTACATGTTTGCATTCATTGAACTACTTAATACAATTCTGGGTTTGTAAGTAAGGTACATTTTTTTTGCTTAGTTACTGGCCAACAACTTACACTTTACTGCACTCTTCTGACTCCCTGCTCTGTGTATGGTACCACAGACTATGGGAGTTTCTTATCGTTTATTTCCAGCTCCAGAATATGTCTTGGCATTTAAATCTCCTTTGTAGTTGTGTATATTTATTGTTTATCTCAAAGTTCATACATTTTCCTATGTTAAAATGCCCTGAGAAGAAAGATTGGGGAGTGTGGGAGAGTCCACCCCAGCCACACACACCACACTTTGTGCTCATCTTCTTCAGCAGCTACAGACAAACACAGGTTTGTAGGAGCCCAGAAAGGTCAAGACTTGAGGACTTGAGTTATTTTGGGTCCTGCATTGATGTTTCCAAAGGATGTCCCATGGAGATTGCCATCTCAAATGATCTTTTTATAGTTGTAAAAACCCCACACCTGTTAACCATTGCTTCCGTAGGAAGATGCAGCAAAGGTGTCATTTTTCAGACACAAAAGACTGAAATTATGTGAGAGTTGTCAGTGGGGAGAAGCCCCTAACTATATAGTTATGTCATATTTTAATTTGGGTTTGTTTCAGTGAGGAGGGTATATAATTTAGAGAGTAATTGGTAGTCACAAGACATCCCATTTTGAAGTTGCTGAGTAGGTAAGAAGCAGCTATCGTTGTTGGATGTTTCCTCATGCAGAGAGAACCAGAAATGTTAAAATAGTGTTGGAACTGAAAATCACTTGTCTCAAATCTTTATTTGCTGCCAAATTGAGAAGATAACATTTGTTAGTGACACAAATATGCTGTGCTGGTAGTTAAGTTAGAAATAGTTATTGCAGACTTTATTCTGAAAAGGCACCGGAGCTAATAATTATATTGGGGTTTTTTTGGTTTTAAGTTCCTAAGACTTTATTAAAATATGTTGTAGTAATGCTCAAGTCATCAAGGATTTTAGTAATTTTAAAGGGACTGCTGATTTTTATGCTTAAAATCTATTTTCTCCTTGTTTCCAGAACTTGTATTTCACTCAGACACATCAGCAAAATAGTTATTTTTGTGTTTGTTTAGCAATATTGATATTGTTAGCAAACTACTTCATTGTCATGGTGAGTTTTACACAGCATCCACATATCTGGTATGTGCTTGTGATAAAGGCATGAGACCATACTTGCAAAGGGGTGTGTTTTGCTTAGTGCCAAATGCATTTTGTTTATGAATTACAGGGGATCTTTAAAAATTACAAAGGTTCATTTTAATAATTCTCTCCATTGCCAGGCCCCAATGTGGTTGTAAACATTGGATTGAACAAAAATAGTCAGTAATGGTAAGAAGTACTTCATTTTAGTCAGGTTTTAAGACATTGTGTCACTTGCATCAAGATTTTTATATCTGTGGGAAGGGGATTAAGTAACTGTAAATCTTTGGTACAGAAAACACCACTTGAAAATATTTTTTTTTGGTTTTGCAGCGTTCCTGTTCCAGTAGTCAGTCTAGAGAAAATTCCTAACCTAGTGAAGGCAGATGGTGCCAATGTTAAAATGAATTCTGCAACCACTACCACCATCACCTCCTCCTCAGCCTCTTCATCCACCATACCTGCCCCAACTTTGGTTAAATCTGGTTTGACATCCAAGTCAGTGCCACCATCACCAGAAAAGATTCTGAATGGCAAAGGAATTGTAGCTCCATCAATAGACAAGAAACACCAAAATGGCACTAAAAGCAGTAACAAGCCTTACAAAAGACTTTCAGGTAAGTGATGTTGTTGTTCATATTTCAAGGTAGTCTGTCTGTCTTCGTTAGTGTTTCTGTGGGTCATAATAGAGCTAATAAAATGCTGTAGCCTCTTTCTGGTTGGGGTTTTTTTTACTGTCAGATGCCAGTCTGCATATATGAAAAAGAAAGCTTTCACACTCTTAGCATGTGTAAAGTATTTTCAAACTACACATTCTGTTTAGCTTGAAATTACTGGTCAACAGGCCAAATACAGATTTATTTTTTTTAAGAAGTAAAGTCATTAAAACAAAGGCAGAAGATTTCCTCAAGCCATTATAGGATTTGGGTCTGTTTACAACAAAAGAAAATGGGCCTTGGTTGGGTGACTTTAATTCAGTCGTGATCAAGCTGAACAGGTTTAGAACATCAGATTATCCTCCAAGTTGTGGTTTTTTAAAGGATCTTTTTTCTTGGTTTTAAATACTAGAAAATTCTAAGAAGATGTGGGAAATTCTGGGAAAGTCTTAGAAGTCATAATCCCCCTCCATCCCTCTCCCACTGCAAGTCACACGAGTGGAGACATTTCTAGCATGGGGATCTTGATCTTTCTCAGGAAGACAGGGCAGTGGGGTTGAGAGAGTGACGTTAAATGGGAAATGCCCTGGATTGCCTTAGGCAGGGCAGGTTTGGGGAGCAGCCTTGTCTGGTGGGAGGTGTCCCAGCCCAGGGCAGGGGTTGAGACTAGCTGATCTCTAAGGTCCATTCCAGCCCCTAAAATTCTATGATACGGGTCCCCATCCAAACCTGCCACCAAAGCACAGAACACCACGTTGTGGGAGGGCAGAAGGGTTGCCATCCATTGGGAAGAAGGATTATTTCCCATGGACTTCTGGAGGTGACCCATGCCAGCTGTTGGGCAGCGAGTAGAGAATTTGTCCCCCAAAGCTGGAAGCAGGTTTTTGCTCTGAATGAAAGGAAACAAAGTGTTTTAAGGGATTTTATTTGATGATATTTTTTTTAAAGCAGAAGTAACTGACTCAAGTTTACAGCTCCAGAAGCTGTTCAGGGCCTATTCATCAGCTGGCAGTACTTTGTGACTCGGGCAGGAACGTCTTGTGTGTACTGAAAGGCTAATTTTGCTAATGGCGGCATGAGCCGCATCGGATCGTCACTTTGGCACAAAGTTAGTTCACATCTCTTCTGAACGGGCACTAGTTATGAACCAAGTATGGGTTGTACACGACAAGTGCTTTCATTTCCAGTTACTGAGTATGCCCTGTTTTTTTCCTGAATATCAGGTTTATTTTCTTCTTTTTCTCAGACCTGGCAGGCAGCCTGTGGTACTGCTGCCTTGGCTGGATTCCAGGCCAGTGCTGGGTGTTTGCTGGGGCTGTGTGGGGCATGGAACAAGGCCATTGCCATGAAGGATTCAGTACACTGATTGCTTTCTTAACTCCTTAAAGGTGGCGTGCAAGAAAACAGAACTGTTGCTCATTTCTAGCGTTTCACAAAATGAAAAAATATGACAGGAAAGTAGCTTAAGATGAACGTTTTAAACCTTACATTTCACTTCCAAAGATCCAATTTATTATTCTAATAAAAACTCTGTGTATTTTACAATTAGTTTAAAATATTGCTTCCTTTTAACCTGTTATTTCCTGTAATGTTTTAGATGCTTTATTTAGCTAATCAGTTCTGAATTCCTCCTTGGGCAATTGGAATTGTTTGAGATACTTGTTTTCCTCCTGTCACCACGTACCACTGCAGGGCTGTGGGTGATACCAGCACATTTTCATACAAGTGTTTGCTGAAATGTGTTCCTAAAGGAGAACCAGTTCTGTAGGGCCTTCCTTCAGCTGGAGGGCTCTCTGTCTGGAGGTGACTCCAGCACTGTTCTGTCTCTAAAGATCTGACTTGCAGTGTTTCCTAGGCTGGGGGGAACATTTCACTGGTGGAAATTTCTGCACAGGGCTGATTGAGCACCCCGATAGGCATGTGTTTACTTTTATATGGTTAACGAATCCACAGAACGGAGACTTTTTTTAACAGCTCCTCTCTCATTATCAGATTTACAATCTGTTCAGTCTTGCTTCCACTGCCTCAAGTACTGATGCAGCAATGCCATAATTTAGCAATGATGCAAACAGTAGAAGTCCTGAGAGCACCAGAGATGAATTACCTGTAGATTGTGTGTCACTATGATGGATTCCTCTCCATTATTATACAGGGCTGTACAAAGGCTGTGAAAAAGATCTTGGAAGGTCAATGAGATGATTATTTTAGATATCCCATAATTTCATTCATTTCACATTAAAATAATGAAACATCAGCAAGGGCTTTAGGTGTCCCTCAGTTCGCTGCTCTGGAGCTGTACAGATGTGAATTTTTGAAGCTCCTTATTAAATTTGGCCACTTTACATCTGTTTCCTTCCCTTTTTAGCAACCTTTACACTCTCTCACACCATTTCCCTGACTGTGACTGAGGTTTGTTTTTTTCTTTGCTGAGAGCTGGTGGTTGTTTGGGTGATGAATGAACCTGCCCTCTTTTCAGAAGCACTGTCCTTGGTGAGAGAGAGGAAACAGCTTGCAGAACCACAAAAGACAGTCTGGAGCTGCCCAGCATAAGTTTCCTAGTAGCAAACTGAAAAAAAAAAAAATTGTTTTTTTTTTTCCTAAACCTTCCTTAGTTCTTACTCTCGTTGGATTAAAGAATGCAGATTCCCAGCTTACACCAGGAATAACTATTGCGTTGCAAACAGGAGTTTGTGGCAGTTCAGTTTCAGCCCTTCCTCATCTTTCCATGAGGTTATAATGAATGTTTGTTACTTTGTCCACTGAAGGTGAAGAAGTGGAATCAATTCCAGAGAAACAGCTTTCTCAAGCTGTGCCTGTGCACAGGAGTCTGGGGGTTGTCACACTACACATTTCCTAGCACAGAAGTACTCAGAAGCTGAATTTTGTTATTGATAAGAAGGTGATAAGCTCCATTTAGTGTGTTGCCCAAACCAAGCATGTCTGTAGCTGGCAGATAGATGTTCATGGTTTCTTTGGAACAGCCACACATACTTCAGGCAGAAGTGGTTCCCTGTTTGTGCAGTGTTTTCTGTTCCTTGGGGACAGCATGTCATTTTGTTGTTTGGTTAGTGGTGGAGGCTTCCACTCTTTCTGACCATGATTCCTTATGTTGACTTTATCTGTATTATTATCCCTAATAATTAGCTTTGCTATAATCAGTCCTGTGAGTCTTTCTTGGTCAGGACACTTACTGACAAGTAGCAATCTGGAACACTTCTGATTTTGGAAGTATGTTTCCCTCTTGGTCCAAATCAGTCCTTGCTTGATGACTTTGAGAACACATTCCATAGCCTGACGATTGCCCTCAGGATTTGCCATTTGAAGGCATATCTGTTAGTCCATATAGTCTGTTTAGTTTGGGGGTTTAATTTGCATTGTAGGTTTTTAGATGGGTGATTCAGGAAACTGTGATAGGAACATCTGACACTCAAACCCCAGGAGTAATTAACTCCTTTAGGCCATGAACATGTGTTTTTGTCCATTAAGTAGAAAAAAATGTTTGTTATATTTAGTCATATACAGCTACTTTTCTGTTTCTGTTGTGCTGTAAGTGCCACAAACTACTGCTAGTTGTGACATATTTCAGTCCCTCTGTAATGTCATCAAAACACTGTGCCAGCTGTTTTTCCCAAGCTCATTTTTTGGTATGTCTCTGCTCATAGGGCAATAACATAACTGTTTAATGTTTGCATATGCATTTTTAAGTTCATATAGCAGAATGCATAAAACTGCTAGTGGTTATGGTATCTGGAGGAGAGTTGTTGTCTAGCAGAGGCTCCTTGGCCTGTGTTTCTTCTTCCAGCTGTTCCCCTTGCTGTGATGCTGTCATAACACTGTGAATTGCTGTCTTCCTCCTAGCTCTCACGTGTCTGTTTATAAGGAATTTTTAGATCCTCTGATTAAGTGTTGTATTTGAGCACAGGATGTTTATTATATCTGAAGGTAACACCACTGTATAGTTAAAATAGGCTTTGGCAAATGGTTTCTGTTCCCCCAAGCAAAGTGGTGCCAGTTAACCCAGACTTGGCAAGGTGTGTGAAGGCAGTGGTAGAGGGTTTTGGTGGTAAACCCTAAACAGGATATGTCTGTAGTTTTGTTTCAGCTCTTAGTGCTAAGCCTAAAGTTATATTAACATAACCTAAAGGCGGTGCTGCTGTCTGTGATATATAAATACTAAAATATTAATGAAAATGAAATATGCAAATACAGCATATTAAGTATTAATGCACTTTTAATGTTAATCATGAGTAGAACTCTTGTAAATGCCTCTTTTTCCATGATCTCTGCAAACTTTAAACTCCATGACTCCCTTCACGTCGGGAAATAAGAAGCAACGTATATGTTATTTTTATACAGATTTTAAGGGACAGACTTAGATAAACTTTGGTTTTAAAATGCCACCAGTAATCTTGTCTTTATTTTGGAGACACCACAGGTTGTTTTCTGGTGTGTCTGAGTATGTCTGACAAATGTTCAAAGCATTTGTGATACTGTATGTGTCCCAGCCCAGCTGGGGAGCTAGATCTGCACATGCTGTGTGTCCTGGCCAGGAGGCAGCTGGTCCTAGAGAGGGAATGGAATCCACAGGGATTTGGGTTGGTCCTGTGTTCAGGCCAGTCTCTTGGCTCAGCTCTGTAAGCAGCCTTATTTCTGCTCTAAATGTTTGAAACATGCAAGGACAAAGAATGCACAACTGTAGGAGTGATGCACATAGCACTGTTATGGGGTGCTGGGGTTGGGAGCACTGGCTCAAGCTGAGTCTGGCTAAATTAAGTTCTATCAGGCAAAAATTATAAGCAGCTCTGCTTAAAAATTCTCTAATAATCTATTTTTTTTTCTCCTTTCTTATTCCACCATGAAACAGAAAGAGAATTTGACCCAAATAAACACTGTGGAGTACTGGATCCTGAAACAAAGAAACCTTGCACAAGATCGCTCACCTGCAAGGTATTTTTCTTAGAAGATAAAATATCAGATGCTTTGTTATAGTTTAAATCCTACCACAGTAGTTTGAGAGGTCATACCTGCTCCTGTCTTACAGACAATGGGTATGGTATTCAGGCGCTGTCTTCAGGTAATTCTTTTGAGTAATTCTGTTTCTTTGAATCAGAGCATCTGCATTATTCCACTGATAGTTCTCAAAAGATTTTTTTCCTTGTCATTTGGTTATGCAGAAAGCATTAATGTTTCATGTAGAAGCCCAAGTGTTATTTTAAATGCTCCTTTTTTTGGTTCATGTGTGCCACCATGTTGAAGTATAGTCAATTTTTAGCAGAAAAAATTAACATATTTTTGTTTAATAAATTACTTGGGGGCTGCCCTTGTGATAGTAATAACTCTCATGTCAAAAAGTAGCAGCAATGTAAGACATTTGTAACGAACATTTGTATGTGTATGTGCTGCCTGTCAGGAGAGATGATCAGTTAAATTTCCCTTAAAATGTATTCACGTTTTTCAGTCCAATGAAGTGAGTTTTTCATTGCGAGTTAAGAGGTACAATGATGTTACTTCTTAATATTTTAAAATTACCAGAATTCTATTTTCTGTCTTGGAAAAGGTAAGTCAGTAGACTCTATTATATGAAAATTGCTGCAGAGAGTAATTTTAGCCTTGATGTTGGCATTGCTTAAGAATGGCTTCATAAATTTTCAAAGATAATGTGAAGTAGCAGCTTTATTTCCATAACTGTGGCTAAAGTTGTTTGAAGTAGATTTTATCTTTTAGAGTTGTGGTGTATCAGAAGTATAGAGGACTCATAAACAATGTCATGCACACACAAATGCTTTTTAACCACCCTATTTTTAGACTCATTCACTTAATCATCGACGAGCAGTTCCAGGCCGTAAAAAACAGTTTGACATCCTTCTAGCTGAACACAAAGCTCGATCCAGGGAAAAAGAAGTCGCAAAAGACAAAGAGCATCCACCATCTGCAAGGGAAAGCTATCAGAGCCAGCCCACACCAGCACAAGACTCTCTGTCAGGATCCTCAGTGAACTCTGGGCAAGAATCTAAAGTAACATCTCCTGCAAAATCTAGACCACCAAATTCTATACTTCCAAGGTAAGCAGTTCTCCAGTGGATTCTCCAGGCGTTGGAAGAAATGTCTTAGTCTTTCATACAGTGAATTTTATAAGCATTCAGTACTTCTATAGGCTATTGCACAATTAAGCATATTCATATAAGAATTGCTGCTAGCTTATATTAACCTAAAGCTGTTCAGGGTGCTGTGGTCTGATTGGGAGTGAGGTAAGGAGTGGTGTCCACCTTTGGCTCAGAATCTCAGACTAACTGCATTCATTTATTTATTTATTTTGCTAAAATGGTCTGTAATAATTCAGGAAGTTTATATTCATGTCATTCTGCCACATTTGGGAATAAAGGTCTGTTCACATGAATCAGAGTAGGTATTAGTGGTGAAATTCTGCACATTTATGTAGAATTTTTCTCTACAAATACTTCACCAGTTGCATCAATGGAATGTCTTGTCAAAGCAGGTGTAATTTGGTGTTGATCTGAAACTATTGGTATGAAACTGTCCATAGCATGTCTTCCCTCATTTTGAAAGCGTTTCTTAGAAAGAGCAAAAACAGTCTTCAGAAAGGCAGGGCAAACTTCTGAAGACATCCCTTTACAGCACATGGTCTGAGGTATTGGATCTGCTGGATTCTAATTATCCTCTGGAAAACTTCCCACATGTTTTGTTTATTTGGGAGGGAGTTGGTACTAGTTTTGGCTGGAGTGGATAGAGCTAAACTAGTTGGGTTTGTTCATATTTTTTTTTTTTCATTTTTGTTTCCTTTGCAGAAGTCTTGGTCAGGATTGAGTACTATGGTAGTCCCTATTTCAAAGAGATATCTCATGTGTTTGCTATCTCAAGCCTTACAGAGACAGCTGTTACCAGTGTTTTCTGTGTGCTCATGAAGCCCTAATGACATTCTGTTCCCACAGTGGCAGAGGTGGGACTTACAGGGTTTGAGGAAAAGGACAACCAAAGAATACCCAGAGATAAATTGGTTCCAGTCCCCCTAGTTCTTGTAGAAGGAGTGACCTTACACAGTCCTCACGTAGAGAGGAGCACAGACAAACAGGCAGACATGGGTTTTAGTAGGTGTTACAGTCCAAGCAGCAGAACTGGAATGCAGTTCCAATAAAGGCAGCTGAAGAAACTGCAGAGGTGGTGGTAGCCAAGGAGGAGGATTTTAGCAGCCCTCCTTTGTGTTCGTGCAGCCTGCACTCCTGTTCCTGCTGCCTCTGTCCAGTTGTCCTGCCTGGCTTTGCAGGCAGCTGTGCCAGGGAAAGCTGTGCTGCCTCCAGTGGCGCTGCTGCTGCTGGAAGAGGTTGTGTGAGTGCTCCCTGCCCTGCTGAGGCACAGCTCACTGGGTTCCCTGCGGGTGGCTTGGCTTGCCCTGGCCTGGCTCTCCTGGAGGCTGCAGAGCACTCACAATCCATCCCTTGCAGCAGCAGCTGCCGCAGTTATTCCTGGCAATCCCTGCACAGGTCGGGAGAGGGCACCTGTCCACAGGCTTAGTGACTGCTGTGTCCTGAGAGCATGAATTCCTGAGGCTGATCTTCAGATCATCTGCAGATTGTGCCCAGTGTGGACATCTCCTCCAGCCTCAGAGGTCCATGTACACACTTGGCTGTACAGACTCCAATCGAGAACCTTTTCCACCCCCACTTCTAATTTGCTTCCAAACTACTTTGAAAGGCAAGGCATCATCACACCCTGTGGTGCACAGGCATTCCTACTTTGTTTTATTGGGTTTTAGACAAAGGTAAAGAAGACCTCTGTGCTGTGAGAGGTCCTCCCAGTTACTTCACTCACTAATCTAGCTGTAGAGGGTGTCAGCTAAACACTCTTATTATATTTAGTACACTAATTTCAGTAGGCTTTTGGTATGAAATATAATTTCATAACTGAACCCTTGGGATTAATCAAGTACCAGAGTAATGGTGCAGTGTGAGAGGATTTTACACATCTGATTTTTATTTGCAGTTTAGATATATTTTGCCTCTCTCGAGATCTGAAATCCAACCTCATGGCAAATTTAACCTTTCAGGCAATACCAAGGTGCTTCTGCTAACATTAATTTGGTGATAACCCCACAATCTATTTCTGACAAGACCAAATGTCAGCTATTCAGTATCTTTTACTGTCCCTCTTTACATGCTCACTTCTGGTATCATTTGCTTCGATGCTTGATGCCGGCAGGTAGGTTTGCAGAGCCTTTGAACACTGATCATTTAAACATATATTCTCCTTCTAGACCATCATCTGCAAATAGCATAAACAGCAACAGTTCTTCAAACCACAGTGGGTATGTACCAGAACTGCCACTGCCTTCCATGGGAGGAGATATAACAAGCAGATTGTCCAGCGATGAAGGAGAAGCGGATGGAGCTGAAGAATCTGAGAAATTAGACTGTCATTTTTCTGGACACCATCCCAGACCTCTTGGGGTATGTGTCTGTCTCTGGCATGCCTTGCTATTATTTCTATGTAATTAGAGAGGGGAGAAAAACTAAGTAATTTAGTAAAAAGGTGAGGAATGAGGACCTTACATTCTGAAAACTGTTCTAAAGAGACCAAATATATTTAAAGAAAATGGTATGGATAGGATAAGGTAGGAGGAGAAGACTGTACATGTGA